TACTGGCTATTCACCTAAAGAGAACTGAAAACACGAATTCAAAAAGATATAGCATCCGTATGTTTCTTGCAGCGTTATTTATAATAGCCAAGATACGGAAACAACCCAAGTGTCCATCCATAAATCAGTGGAATGAAACAGAAAACCCAGAAATGAATCCACAACGCTACGGTCAGTTAATCTTTGACACAGCAGGAAAGAATATCCAATGGAAAAAAGACACTCTCTTTAACAAATGGTGTTGGGAAAACTGGACAGCTACATGCAAAAGAATGGAACTACACCAACATCAATTCAAAATAGATGAAAGACGTTAAGTGTGAGACGTGAAACCATAGAAATCCTAGAGGAAAACATAGTTGGTAACCTCTTTGACCTTTTAAGCTGTAGCAACTTATTTCTAGATAAGTCTCCTAAGGCGAGGGAAGCAAAAGCAAAAATAACCCATTGGGACTTCATCAAGATAAAAAGCTTCTCCACAGAGAAGGAAACAATCAATGAAACTAAAAGGTGACCTACAGAATGGGAGAAGATATTTGCAAATAAAGGGTTAGTATCCAAAATATATAAAAAACTGATCTAACTCAATACCCCAAAAACAAATAATCCAATTAAAAATGGGCAGAAGACATAAACAGACATTTTTTCCAAGGACGACATCCAGATGGCCAACACACACATGGAAAGATGCTCAACATCACTCATCATCAGGAAAATGCAGATCAAAAGCATGAGGAGATACCACCTCACACCTGTCAGAATGGCTACAATTAACAACTCAGGCAAGGACAGATGTTGGTGAGGATGCGGAGAAAGGGGAACACTTTTGCCCTTTTGGTAGGAATGCAAACTGGTGCAGCCACTCTGGAAAACAGTGTGGAGTTTCCTTGAAAAGTTAAAAATAGAACTACCCTATGACCCAACAATTGCACTACTAGGTATTTACCCAAAGGATACAAAAATATTAATTCAAAGGGATACATACACCCCTATGTTTATAGCAGCGCTATCTACAATAACCAGATTATGGAAATAGCCCAAGTGTCCAGTGACTGATGAATGGATAAAGAGGATGCGGTGTGTATATATACAATGGGATATTGTTCAGCCATAAAAAGAATGAAATCTTGCCATTTGCAATCATGTGGACAGAGCTAGGGAGTATGATGCTAAGCAAAATAAGTCAGAGAAAGACAAATACCATATGATTTCACTCATATGTGGAATTTAAGAAACAAAACAAATGAGCAAAAGGAAAAAAGAGAGAGAGAGGCAAACCAACAGACAGACTCTTAACTCTAGAGAACACACTTACAGTCACCAGAGGGGAGGTGGTGGGGGACGGGGGAGATAGGACATGGGGATTAAGGAGGGCACTTGTTGTGATGAGCACCGGGTGACGCAGGGAAGTGTTGGATCACTGTGCTGTGCACCCGAAACTAATATAACACTGTATGTTCACTATCTGAAATTTAAGTAAAAACTTACAAAAAACAGATGAATGGATAAAGAAGTGGTGTGTGTGTGTGTGTGTGTGTGTGTGTGTGTGTGTGTGTGATGGGATGTTACTGAGCCATGAAAAAGAATGAAATCTTGCCATGTGGAATGACATGGAGGGACCTAGAAGGCATCATCCTAAGTGAAATCAGTCGGGAAGACAAATACCATATGCTTTTGAGCATACGTGGAATTTAAGAAACAAAACAAATGAACGAAGACAAACAGAGACAAACAAAAAATAAAAAACAAAAACACCCCAGACCCTTAAAAACAGAGAACAAACTGGTGGTTGCCAGAGGGGAGCTGGGTGGGGGATGGGTGGAACAGGTGAAGGGAACTAAGAGAACACCCGTCATGCTGAGCACAGGGTGAGGTGCGGAAAGGTTGAATCACTGTACTGCACCCAAAACTAACAATGCTGTCTGTTAACTCTGCTTCAATTACAAAAAAGAAAACCCTGCCAGCTCCCAATCTGGATTAGTCTGCCTCTTTCTTTGGTCTCTCCTCACCCTCCAGGTGTGGGTGCCAGTTTCAGATTCACCCAAGAAACTCCCAAGGTTCTGAATCGATAGGAATGCATCTAATGATTACTGCTGAAAATGTGTACTGTAGGTTTTTAATAGAAAAAGCGAAGAGTTAAGAAAGTTATCTTTCTGGGGCGCCTGGGTGGCTCAGTCGGTTGAGCATCCGACTTCGGCTCAGGTTATGATCTCGCGGTTTGTGGGTTCGAGCCCCGCATCAGGCTCCGTGCTGACAGCTTGCTCAGAGCCTGGAGCCTGCTCCGGATTCTGTCTCCCTTTCTCTCTGTCCCTGCCCCGTTCACACTCTGTCTCTGTCTCTCTCAAAAATACATAAACATTAAAAAAAAAAAAAAAGTAAGTTATCTTTTTTTGGATTGCCAAGTATCTTTTATTATTTTTTTTGGGGGGGGGGGAGGGTCAGAGAGAGAGGGAGACACAGACTCTGAAAGCAGGCTCCAGGCCCTGAGCTGTCGGCACAGAGCCCAATGCGGGGCTTGAACCCACAAACTGTGAGATCATGACCTGAGCTGAAGGCCATTAACTGAGCCACCCAGGCACCCCACCAAGTGTCTTTTAACATATAAGTTGTACAATGTTATTTAAATGCATTTCCCATTTGTTGAAATAATGACATAGTTTCTTTCTTTTGATAGGCTTATTTGGCAAGTTATTCTGATAGAGAACTGTCACGTTAAATCATTCTTACATGCTGAAGGCAAAGCTACTTTGTCGTGGTGTATCTTTAGTCCCCCTAGTTTTCTAGCATTTTTTTTTATAATCTCAGCATCCACATTTATGAACAGACTTGGTCTATAATTGTCCATTCCGTATCACCTTGTCTGGTTTGGGCATCAACTGCATACGAACTTCATAAAACAAGTTGTGTAGCTTTCCTTCTTTTTCTAGTCTTTTGAACAGATTCTATAATTTGTTCTGCAAAAGCTTGGTGAAATTTACCAACAAAATTTAATGAGCTTGGCTCAGTATTTTTGGGAGGGTGGGAGAAGGCTTTTAAAAATTCAACTTTCAGGGCACCTGAATGGCTCAGTCAGTTAAGCGTCCGACTTCGGCTCAGGTCATGATCTCACCGTTCGTGAGTTCGAGCCCTGCATCGGGCTCTGTGCTGACAGCTTGGAGGCTGAAGCCTGCTTCGGATTCTGTGTCTCCCTCCCTCTCTCTCTCTCTCTCTCAAAAATAAATGTTAAAAAAAATTCAACTTTCTATCAGATTTTTCCTTTTTTAAAGATCACTTGGGAAAATTTATATTTCACTTCAAAATTATCCTTCTCAAATAGGTTTTCCAATTTACTGAATCTCATTAATGTGGCAAATCAGCCAGACACAAACACACAAGTGTGGAGAAAAACTATCCTAACAAGAGCTAACCACAGCTGAGCTATAAAAAAGGGGGGGGGGCGCTCCCTCAGAATCAGACACAAAGAAGGAAGTCAGAGGAGTAAATGGGCACGCACCACCCGCTGCGCCCTGGGGTGTGGCACCCAGTACGGGCTGCGGCAGAACCGGGCTTTTGTGAGTGATCCAGGAGGGTGGACTTTGTGCAAGAGAGGGAAGGCAGCAGGATTAGCAGGATTGAATGGACCTGGGGCCCTGAGGCCCTGAAAGAGCTTCCCGGTGAAAACGGGACTAGGAAAGGTCAGCCGCTGAGGGAAGCTACAAGGAAACGTCTTCCTGCCTAGGTTTCTGGCTGACTGAAGTGTCCCAAGAGAAAACAGGACCTCAGGTATGGGCCCCACATGTACGCAACCCTGAGATTTCCCTGCAATAAAGTTCAAAAATAAGAGAAAATAAGAGATGTAATCCCACCACTGGGAAGAAAATGCAAACACGAATTCAGAAACGTGCCCGCACGGCTACGCGTATCGTAGCGTCACTGGATGGACCTAGAGAGAATGAGGCCAAGGGAAGTGAGTCCCTCAGCTGACCAAGTCAGCGTTCAACCCATTTATCGTGTTCTTTCTTTCACCCGCTTCCTGCTGTGTTTCCAGCGCTCCCACTTCCCCGGCTCGCTCATGCTCCTGGTGCGTCTGGAATTGTGTATCTGGAGAGGGAGTGGACGCTCTTCAAGGCAGGAAACCTGGTCCTCGCTGACACTGCTCTCTTTCAAATGCGGGCTCTTTCTCTTAATCGCTTAGACTGGGGGGGGGGGGGTGGCGGTGGGAAGAAACATGCATTTACCTGCTCCTTAACCTCGTGGGGCCTCACTGCCAACACGGTATTGTGTTGCTGTTGCTGCCTCCGGCCAGGCTGGGCTGTCCCGATGGGCAAAGGCAGGAGTGACGGTCCATTCAGGCCCATTCGTGGCATCCGGCTCTCTTCCTCTCGGACCTACCGTGCTCCCCACGTGGGACCTGACCCTCTTGTCACCCCAGGGGCTTCTTACCATTTCTGTTAGTTTGGGGGATCCAGAATTGGGTTTCAGAGACAGTGTTAGGAGCCCGGCCTAATTAGCCATCTCCTCGGGAAGCAGTGGAACCGGTCTGGGGAGGCAGGCTTCTGACACCAGGGGCCGTGCTGTCAGCGATAATGCTACACTATCTCCAGAATCTTTTGCTCTCACCCAACACGTTTTACTACTCGCCAGGTTTACACCTGTGCATGATTACAGCTTTTGCCGAGGATTCCGGACACATTTCCCTCCCTTATTTCCATCTCTAAGAATCCTTAAAACCACAAACAAGCAAAGCATTCTTCCCTCAGAAAGACCCTCTTGGAATTCCTTATCCTCGTTTTCCACGTGACCCACCAACATATGTAGGACATTAGTTTACGTCACTGATATGCCCCTTTGTTAGTGAGTTTTACTTTCTTCCGTGTGTGTCTGGTTCAAATAGACTGAAAATTCCTGGTCTTCCTTTCTCTGTTTTCTCTTGTAAAATTTAATAGAAGGTGATAAATAGTTGGCATTGATTAAGTGACACACAAGACCATTGATGTGACTTAGAAGGGGAAAAAGCTCACATTTTCCAAAGCCTCCATTTTCACTCATGAACTCAAAGAAGGCATCGAGAATCCTGCAGAGAGTTGTGACCACTGCTAGGTCCTGTACAGGAAACGGCTGACATGTCTGATGCTTCTTTATAAACTGTAGTCCGTCTGTGACGCTATTTTTAATCAAGAATTCAAGACAACTCACTCCTGTTTGACTCATAATTTTAGAAGTTTTCAACAGCCATGACTTGACATAGGGCTCCCATCCCAGATCAACAGGATCCTAACAATATAAAGCACAAGGTAATTTTACGTAAATAAGGAAAAATGAGGCGTCCATCCTCCTCCTTACTATCTTTACTTCACCTCCGCCCCCAGCAAAACACAGCATCATCAGTCGTCAAAGGGCAGCTGATCAAGACCTTGAAGAAGGACCTGTCTCTGAGACGGCTTACGGTTTTAACCCTGGTCTTACAAGACAACACACGGTGGGGGACTGTGTGTAGGGAGGGGTTGGGGGGGGGAGGTTACGTGTACCCGGCAAGGGGAGCGGCTTAGCCAGAGAAGCAGCGCTGTTCTTAGCTTCGCTACAGCGAGTTCAGCGGATCAGAACACAGGGCCAGCCATGGCTAATGATTAATTTCATGGAGAGAAGACACTTAATCTTTGTGTGCCTTCCATCTCCCACCACTGTCTTGGCAAAATATACTTCACGGGCCCTCAGGGTCACAGGCAGGTGAGGAAAGGTGTCTCTCCTCCATGGGAAAGACAAGTCACCAGCAGCCTGTGCTGTCCATCGAAAGCACCGCTCACAGTTGTGGGACACCTGCCACCCCAATTACTGGGTCGTCCTCCTTTAAACAGGAGAGACTATGCTTTCACTCCTGGGTTAGGAGACTTGAGGGGACACAAAACCCTGCCAGATCCAGAGGTAATCATAAAACAATCATCAGGAACGCTGTAGGTAATGACTAGTTATCACCCTTATTACCCTAAACAACACGTTTTCCTTGAGACGTTTGTTTTTGGGAACTTACCATGTAGACCATTGCACACCGGCTGACGGTTGCAGGACTGGCCTGAGAGAGACTGTCGGTCTCAAAAACCACTCGTATGTTACTAGTTAAGGCTATTCGCTCACTGTTTGCCAGACACAGCGTTCTAGTATCATCCAGCATGGAGTTTAGATTTTCTACCCAAAACGTATCCACTGGACCATCCAAAATAATCCACTGCCAATCGTGGTCTGGAGAGAAAAATATTTTTAACGTAACAGAGTATCTCAGTCTTCTTGTGTTACAATTTTACAAATTCCCTATTTTGTTTGGAAAATATTTTCTAACAAGGTGAAAAATGACACCCTAGAGAACAGGAGAGTGAATGTGTTCATGTGTAGTCTCTAACATGTTAGGTAGAAATAACTACTCGGACCACAGGCTTAACCACTCTTCAAACCCGGCCCACATTCTCTGATTGCTGCTTGTGTAGTCGGCCCTTACATTTGGGGAAGAGCAAGACCCTGGATCTGTCTTTCCCATAATCATGTGCTTGGTGAGCTCCCCTTCCACCCAGGATACTTTCTGGACATGCTGCCTCTGGGGGACAGAGAAGGGAAGTAGACAAATAGAGTTGTTTGCGCTGTGGCCCCACTGGCTCCTCTTTCCATGTTCTACGTGCACCAACCTGCTCCTCAGTTCTAGGAAATCTGTCGGGTCAAGACAGGGGAGGAGCGTGTGGGTCACCGTGCAGACGGAAAATAGTTACCGCCTGAAGGACATTAAAGGATCCCAGGGCCAGGACCAAGAGGCCGGGATGCTAAGTCAGCGGCGGCCATACTTGCCTCCAGGCCTGTCTTAGAACCCCCGGAAGGCACCTGCTCTGCCCGCAGACCACACTCCCCAACCTGAACGCGGGAGAGGGACACACAGACATTCAGGAATTCCAAATCAGGACAAGCAAGAGCAGAAGTCTCTTTCCGGGCCTGGAACATAAGCGTCCGGCTGGTGCCTGTGGTGCTCGAGGCTCAGCCCGGAGCAGTGAGCTGATGGGGCTCCGGCCGGGACCCTCGCCTCCTCCGGAGCAGGCGCCTTACCACACGCTCTCTGTGCCCCGCCTCCTCGCACCCCGCACCGCACACCCACGCCACAAAGCAGCACACGATGGATGCGTAGTTCTGTTTAGACGCGTGTGTGCGGGCTGTGTTATTTGGGCCGGGAGCGTCCGCAGGCTTCCCCCCAAGACTTCTCTCTACTTGAACGTCTGCTTGCTTCTTGTGAGATATTAATGTCCGTTTATAAGCTGAAAGGGCCGTGCACGACCTACCGCTTCAGCGCCATAATTATGTATGTAGGTAGGATGCTATAACATGCGGTAAATACGCACGTACATAAATTTTAAGTGAGGGAAAAATAAACAGTATAGGAACAAAAATCAACATTTTTAAAGATACAGATTCAGCTCATTTGTTCAGTTTCTTCCCTGTTAATGAATCATCTTTACGGAATTTAATAGTAACACTTACTCTGACTTTCTGGGATTTTAACATCTTTCTCCATCTCCTGCTTAGAAATGTTATCGTCAATATCTGCTATATCAGAGGAATCAAGTTTGAAAACCTAAAAGAGGTAATCAATAATGTTTATTTCATCACACTTTCCAACTCAAACATGTCAATATGCTGAGTACTAAAATAGAAAAGGCACACATTCTGTGGCTGAAAGACCTCCCTGTAACCAGCACAGGGTGGCTTAGCTGAGTTGTGAGTACAGGCCATTTTCTTCTGGAAAATTCTTTCAGTTTTTTTTTTTTTTTCCAGTTAGTACATGTTTGTTGTACAGCATTAAAATAATGCCATAAAGCAAGAAAGCAAATGTTCTCTGAATTCCCACCATCTATAAAGAAACTGTTGATATTTCAGTATATATATATTCCTAGACCCTCCTTCACAGTAGTTTTAAAATTTGGGGGTAACACACTAAAATGTTAAATGTTTCTAAAATGTAATAACATTTTAGAAATATAAAGTACTATGGTTTTCTTCCCAGATTTCTTAAAACTCTTGGAACATTTGTGCTTCCAAATGAACTTTACAATCATTTAATTCAATTTTTTAAATTGGGATTTTGCTTGGAAAGACACTATATACATATATTAATTTGGTATAGGTTGGCATTTTCAGGATGGAAGTCCTTTTATACAGGAATAGAGTATATCTTCCATTTATTCAATTTTTGCCAACTGCACAGGCATCCCTGCCCCCCTCCCCTGCTCCCGTCCCTGCCCCCGTCCCTGCCATCCTGCTATGACAAGTTCCTTTCTTGTACGTTTTTCCAATATGGTTTTCACAGTGGCATCACTGTTAGAATTTTTCCCGTTTCCATTTCTAACTGGTATAATTAGTGAATTGTATCATGTTCCTTCTCTGTCAATTACTGAGGAAGATGTAATAAAATCTCACACTAGCTTTGCATTTGTCAATTTCCCTATGAAACTGACGTACATGTTTACATTATGTCACAGGCACATAATAGCCCAGAACTGCCATCTTTTTCTGCACCAAGAGCACACGGTTTTCCCCTAATTTTATAATAATTCTTGACATCTGGCAGATCTCATCACCCAAATTCTTCCCTTTTTTTTAAATTCGGGAATGTCATGGCCCTTGGTTCTTCTATATACATTACAGAATCAGTTTGCCAAGGTCTTAAAATCGACTTTAATTTTCTATTTCAAAACTCAGGGCAAAGCTCTAGTTTTCAAGTGTGGCGTTAGCGTAAGGACAGATATGAAGATGAATGGAACAGAACTAGGAGTCCAGAAATAAATCCCTACATTTATGATCAGCTGATTTCGACATGGGTGACAAGACAATACAAGCAATGGGGGACAGAATAGTCTTTTTTTTTTTTTTTTTGAAGAATAGTCTTTTCAACAAATAATTCCGGAACAACTGAACTGGGATCCCTGCCTTGTACTGTCCACAAAAAATCAACTCAAAATAGACTAAAGACCTAAATGTAAAACTTAAAACTATAAAACTCTTAGAATAAAACTTAAAAGAAAGTCTTTGTGACCTTGAATTATACAAAGCTTTTTAAAGCTATGATATCAAAAAAAAAAAAAAAAAAACCAAACAGGTGACAAGGTAAAAAGTAGACTGAACTTCATCAGGGTTGAAAACTTTGGTGTTTCACAAGATACCTTCAAGAAAGTAAAGACAACCCACAAAATGAAAGAAAGTGTTTGCAAATCATAGTCCCTGATAAGGGACTTGTATCCAGAATATACAGGTGTGTGTGTGTGTGTGTGTGTGTGTGTGTGTGTGTGTCCATGATATAAATACTTCTTTGGATTAGAAGACTCAATATTGTTCTTTTTTTATTTTAATTCCAGTGTCGTTAACATACAGTGTTACATTAGTTTCAGTCTATAACATAGTGATTCAACAATCTATACATTATTCATATGTAGTATTTAAGAAACAAATGAGCAAAGGGGGAAAAAAGAGAGGGAGAGAGAGACAAACCAAGAAACAGACTCTTGACTACAGAAAACACACTGCTGGTCACCAGAGGGGAGGTGGGTAGGACAGTGGGTGAAACAGGTGACGGGGATTAAGGAGTGCACCCGTGAGCATGAGCATCAGGTGACGTATGGAAGTGCTGAATCACAATATTGTAACCTGAAGCTAATATTATACTATGTTAACTACAATTTAAGTAAAAACTTAAAAAAAAAAAAAACTCTGCTTATCTGTTTGGTTCTAAATGTCATTCTTCTGTTAATATAGTTTGGCTAATGAAATTTACTAGTAAGCTCTATAACTAATGAGAATACAAGTCTTCAAAAGTTTTTTGCTATTTATGTTTACTCTACGATGAACTTTGTATCAAAAGCTTTATTCGCTTTTCCACTGAAGTGTTTTCGTAGCTCATTAATTTGTAAGGTGTCCTGGTGGTGCTAGATTCACTAGAGCAACCCCCACTAACACCTCATCCCCTGTGTTCCTTTAAAAGCAAGTATCTTTCATTTTATTGTTTACCAACCATTTTAAAACGCAATGACATATTTTCTGTTGTTTTTCATAGCTTATAATTTTTCTTTTTAAAAACTGATTATAATAACTTTTAAATTTACTTTTATACTGGTAAGTATCTAATAATGATGCTTAAATACCAATTTTTAATCAATGAAGTAATCCACAGAGTCAAATAATAATAATCCTTCCACATTAACTTACATTAGATGCATCCGAGATTCTTGATTTCAGTCCAAGATCGCTGTCTTTTTTTGAGTACCTTGCAGTATTAGAATATACATAATTTCGAACTGTGCTTGATAATAATCCATCAGTCCATTCCATAGTGTTAGGGTCCAGTTGTCCATATAGTTCACTAAGAGTGATACACTTTGGATTTAAAACACAAATATCTACCTTTCCTTTTCTTCCTGGAACCTGAACAAAATCCAGTGTGGTTTCTTAAAAGCATCAGCCAGAGTATAATTATTTACATTTTTGCGCTATTAACACCAAAGGGTTTTAGGAGAGGTTTTTCACTCCAAAGAAAGATACCCGATAAAGACAGTAACTTAAATTTTAAAAAGGACAGCAATTTAAAAAGGACAGTAACAACTGACTCTTTAAAATTAGCCATAATATTCAAATCACTACTTTAAAAATTCTAAATACTATAATGATATCTCTGGAAGAAATGGGGGAAAAAATCCCACTGGTCCTCATCCAGGAACACAACATATGAACTGGGATGTGGTGTGTCTGGAGTCAGGGCTAGACATATGGATGCGGGAGAGCAGAAGACAGTTTTTAGCTGCAGGTCAGAGCTGGCACCCAAGAAGACCTTGTCTGCTACCTTCCAGCCTGCCTGGGGGCTGCCCGCAGGACCGGTGTCCGTTCCACCAGACTCAGATCTCAGGTGGGAGAAGAGTGGGCACTTCTTGTGAAGGCTTCAGGGAGACTACAGACCCACAAAAGCCTAAAACCAGACCTCATGGATGAATTCAAGCAACAGACCATATATAGCCTGAGGGAGACACTAGGGTAGGAGGAATTTTTAGGAAACTAAGACACTCAAGTTAAGCTGTGTAGCCAGTGGCATGGTGAAAGTCAAACTGTGAAAGTCCAGTCAAGACGCACTGCCCAGAAAAAACTTGAGAAGACATTAAACTTTCATCTCAGAGAGGAGACCCCGCTAATCAGTGAGGAACAGCCCCGTGACAGAGCAGCTTTGTAAAGACTGGGAAAGGTGGCTGTTTTTATAAATGCCCCATTTTCAACAAATATCACAAGGCACGTAAAGAAACATAAAAACTTGGCCCATTAAAAAGACAATAAATTGACAGAAACCATCCTGGATGAAGGTTAGTCTGAAAAGAAGCCATCAAATAACTCTCAGTTGAGCTTTCTCCCTAAAATCAAGAACAAGACAAGGATGGCCAGCCACTCTCACCACTTTTATTCAGCCCAGTACTGGAAGTCCCAGCCACAGCAATCAGACAAGAAAAAGAAGTAAGAGGCATCCATACTGGTAGAAAGGAGGGCATTATTTGTAAAAGACAAGACATTATACATAAAAAATCCTAGATTCCACCAAAACTTGTCAGAAATAATACATGAATTCAGTCAAGTTGCAGGATACAAAATTAATACCAAGAAATAGTGTTTCTATACACTAATAATGAAGTAGCAAAAGAGGAATAAAAAAAAACAACAACTACCATTTGTAACTGCACCAAAAAGAATAAAATGCCTAGGGATTAAGCTTAACCGAGGAGGTAAAAGACCCATACTCTGAAAACTATAAAACAATGATGAAAGAAATTGAAGATGACACATAAATGGAAAGATATTCCATAGTCACGAATTGGAAGAACAAATATTGTTAAAATGTTGATACTACCCGGGGCGCCTGGGTGGCGCAGTCGGTTAAGCGTCCGACTTCAGCCAGGTCACGATCTCGCGGTCCGTGAGTTCGAGCTCCGCGTCGGGCTCTGGGCTGATGGCTCAGAGCCTGGAGCCTGTTTCCGATTCTGTGTCTCCCTCTCTCTCTGCCCCTCCCCCGTTCATGCTCTGTCTCTCTCTGTCCCAAAAATAAATAAAACGTTGAAAAAAATTAAAAAAAAAATGTTGATACTACCCAAAGCAATCTAAAGATTCGATGTGATCCTTATCAAAATACCAATACAATTTTTTTTCACAAACCTAGAACAAACAATCCTAAAATTTATATGGAACCACAATGACCCTGAATAGGCAAAGTAATCTTGAGAAAGAACAACAAAGCTAGAGGTATCACAATTCCACACGACAAGCTGTATTCTAAAGCTGCAGTAATCAAAACAGTATGGTACTGGCACAAAAATAGACACATAAATAAAACAGAACAGGGAGCCCAGAAGTTAATCCACACTTATATGGTCAATTAATCTATGACAAAGGAGACAAGAATATATAATGGGGAAAAGACAGTCTCTTCATTCAATGTGCTGGAAAAACTGGACAGCTACGTGTAAAAGAATGAAAGTGGACCACTTTCCATCACCATGAACAAAAATAAACTCCAAATGGATTAAAGACCTAAATGTGAGACCTGGAACCATAAAAAAACCAGAAGAGAACCACAGACAGTAATCTCTCGGACACTGGCCATGTCAACATTTTTATAGATGTGTCTCCTAAGGCAAAGGAAACAAAAGCAAAAATAAACTATTGGGATTACATCCAAATGAAAAGCTTTGTGCACAGTGAAGGAAATCAACAACAAAACAAAAGGGCGACTTTATGTTTTAATTATAATATTTCCTCAGTGGGAGAAGATATTTGCAAATGATATACCCAATAAAAGGTTACTATTCAAAATATATAAAGAACTTATACATCTCAACACCAAAACAACCCAAACAATCTGATTAAAAAATGGGCAGAAGACCTGAATGGACAATTTTCAAAAAAAGACCTACAGATGGCCAACAGACACAGGAAAAGATGCCCAATATCACTCATCATCAAGAAAATACAAATTAAAACCACAGTGAGATACCATCTGTCAACTATTATCAAAAAGACACACACATGCACACAAAACCCAAACCCCACAAACGAGTGTTGGCAAGAATGTGTAGAAAGGGAACCCTTTTGCACTCTTGGTGGGCATGTAAATTGGTGCAGCCACTATGGAAAACAGTATGGAGTTTCCTAAAAAAAAAAAAAAAAAAAAAAAAAAAAAACACACCTAAAAATAGAACTACCATACGATCTAGCAATTCCACTCCTTGGTATCTATTTGAAAGAAAACAAAAACACTAATTTGCTATATGCACCTCCATGTTAATTTCAACATTGTTTACAATGACCAAGATACAGAAGCTAGCTAAACGTCCACTGATGGACGAGTGGATGAAGATGTGATGTGTACACACACATGCACGCACCCACACCCATGATGGAATCCTACTCAGTCATTAAAAAAGAAAGAAATCTCTCCATTTGTAACAGCATGGATAGATCGTGGGGTTATGCTCAGGAAATAAGTCAGAGAGGGAAAGACAAACACCACATGATTTCACTTATGTGTGGAACCTAAAAGACAACACAAACCTGAGACTCACAGATGCAGAGACTATACTGGTGGTTGCCAGAGGGGAAGAGTATTGGTAGAGGGGCCAAAATAGGTGAAAGGAATTAAGAAGTAAAAATTCCAGCTATGAAATAAGTAAGTGATGGGGCTGCAATGCACAGCATGGGAGTATTGTCAGCAATCCTGCATTAATTGTGTGCGACAGATGGTAACTAGACTAGTGGTGATCATTTCACAGTGTACATAAAAGTCAAATCACTAGGTTGTACACCTGAAGCAATATGATATTGTATGTCAATAATACCTCAATTAAAAGGAAATAATTATTAAACAAAAAAGACACAAATAAATAATATCAGAAATAAAAGTATGAACATTACTAGCGCCTTAAGGAAATTAAAAGGATTATAAGAGAACACCAGGAGCAAATTACATAATCCACGGGCTACAAATTCCTAGAAATAACAAAAATTACCAAAAGTGACTCAAGAACAAGTAGAAAATCTCAACAGGTTTGTAACAAACAGAGATTGAATTAGTAACCCAAATCTCTAAGAAAGTCCAAAATCAGATGGCAGATGAATTCTACGAAACACTTGAAAAATGATTAACACCAAAGCTACTCAAACTCTTGCAAGAAATAGAAGAGGAGGGAGTGCTTCTTAACACATTCTGTGAGGCTAGAATTACCCTGATATTAAACCCCCACAAAGACACCATAAGGAAACTACAGACAGACATCCCTTATGAATACAGATGCAAAATTCTCCAGAAAGTGCTAGCAAAACAGAACACAACAACACATTAAGGGATTATTCACTCAGACCAAATGAGATTTATTTCAAGAATGGAGGGGCAGGTTCAACATAAGACAATCAATGTAATATATCATGTTAATATAACAAAAGAAACAAACCACATAATCATATGAAGAGAGGCAAAAAAGCATTTTATAAAATTCCAGACCCTTTCAGGAGAAAAACACTCAAACTAGAAATAGGAAGGCACTTCCTTACTGTGATAAGGGGTATTTGTGAAGCACCCACAGCTGACATCACACTCAGTGGTGAAAGACCGAAAACTTTCTCCCTCAAGTCAGGCACAAGGCAAGACTTCCCATTTTCACCACAGCTATGAAACACTGTACTGTAAGTCCTAGCCTGGTAATTTAGGTGAGAAAAAAAAGTAATAAGCATCCAAATTGGAAAGAAAGAAGTAAAGGTATCTCTATTGAAATATGACATGATTCCATACACGGAAAATCCCAATGAATCTACAAAACAACTACTAGAGCTAATAAATGAACCAGCATGTTTATAGGGTACAGGATCAACATACAAAAACCAGCTGCATTTATATATAGCACCAACGAACCCACTTCAACACAACAAAAAAATAATTAAGAAAGAAATTCCATTTATAGTAGCATCCAAAGAAAACAATGCTTTGAAATAAATTTAATCAAGGAGGAGAAAGACTTACCTATTGAAAACTACAAAAAAGAAAAAAATTCTCTTACTTACTAACAATGGACCTAAAAATGGAAAGACATCTTATGTTTGTAAACTAGAAAACCTAATATTGTTAACATGGTAATATTCTCTAATGTAATCTACAGATACTTTGTAATCCCTATGAATGTTCCTATGGCCTGTTTTGCAGAAAAAAGAATGGGACAGGCAATTCATATGGAATCCAAGGGGGCCTCAAATATCCACAATAATATTAAAAAACAAAAACAAACCAAAAAAAAAAAAAAATCAAAGAGGACTCATACTTCCCAACTTCAAAACTTACTAGAAAACTACAATCATAAAAAAAAAAAAAATAAAAAAAAAATAAAACTACAATAATCAAATTA